ACAAAAAGCTAACAAAATTATGAATTTCATTATTGATTATGATCATGTTTTGACAAAATTATACAACAAATGGAATTTGATTTATCCCGAAATGATCGAAGAGGAAGAAAAAAAAACAAGGGATTGGTATGAATCGTAAGGACGTGATGACAAGTATGAGCCGATGATCTTATTATAATAAGAAGAGACAAATCTGAGCTGCCTCATAATAGAATAAGAAAAACTACATTATTTCTAATGGACGAATTAAAAAATCATATGAAGAAACGTAACAATGTGATCATAATGAGCAAAACAAGAATATACCTGGATGTTCTTGTTTTTTTCCTGTACTTTGACGACGAGAGAATGTTTTAAGCTCCGGGGAAGTACACTATCCAAAAGGAGCCTAGATGGCTAGATTTATTTGTATTTGACTGAAACAGAGGATTTATTAATTAAACTATAAATACAATAAAAGAAAATTAGATGTAGAAAGAAATCTGAGAGTTATGGATTATGGACTTCGGTTTTTCACACAGATTGTTTTCGTTTTTATCTCCCCTTACCAGAAACGGTGCGTTCTCTTTGACTTTTTATAGGGGTCTTTGGTTTTGATTTGTTGTTAAGTCAGTAATCAATAAATCTCATTTATTATTTGATTCACGATGTAAAACTACACGGCTAAAAAAACATATTATGAAAATGCGATGATGTCTAGAAGAAATAAAAATACATGCAAATTACAAATAGTGCCATAGTGGGCAGAACGCGATAGTACGTTTATTGACATTTTCTTGTAAATTAAAGAAAGGGAGATGTTAAGATTAATCTATGAAATATTTGTTGACCAAAAAAATAAAAAAAGGGAGATGTATTGGATTAAAGATTGTAGATCACTGGTATTCAACTAATGATTTTTAAATACATTTTCAAATTTAATGAAAATTTTCTAAAATCATTCAAAATATTTATTACACCTTATTAATTAATTAACAATTTGTTAAAATTAAATCAAATCCATTATTATTCAAAAGTAAACAACCATTTAAGATTTTTTATTATGAAATTGATTTTAGAAGATTTGTCAATAGTCAATTCCTATACACGGTTTAGGACAACTGAAATGTCAAGATGGTCTTATCAGTTCCGCTCTTACAGACGAATGAATAAATATTGCTACGCATCTCAATTTCATATGTACCACATATGTACAACCAAAATCTCTAATCTTTGAAATTGTATAGAAAATTATTAGGTAACATCGTCTTTTGTTCACATAAGATTTCATGGACCTAGATCGTATGATCAAGCACTCAAGCAAAATGTCATACATTTTTTTCATTTTATCAATTGGACACTTTTTTGGAGAATGAAAACACCTTTTTGAAAAACTTGCATATGATGATTTGGGTTAGTGATTATGTATTATGATGTTGCTAAAAATGAATAACGTTGGAATGCTTAAAATTATGTTCTTAGACCAAATATTTTTATGTGTATATCGTTTTACAAAAGCAATATAATATCCAAGAAAGTATAATGATGTATTTACCCTTTTCTTAGATGAATCTATGAATCTGTTACTGTTTTCATAAAGCATAATTTAACAGATGTAGGGTAGTAATATATATTTTTATTTTTGAAGTAGGTTAGTGATTTAAAAGAAAAAGATTCAGAATGCAAAGTGCAAGAAGAAGATTACAGTTGATTTAGCTATACAAAAATGGATTTCAATAGACTAACATAATCGAATTTGGAAGCAGGTAGTTATCAACTCTAGTCTATAATTATTGTGGATGTTGGTTGTTGTTCCCACCAAATGTATTTCTTTTTCTATAAAGACTCTCGGTATATTTTACATAATAAATCTGTTATGACTTGGTCACATAATATGATAAATCTGTTTTACATGATAAATTTGCTACTAACGTAATTTGAACTTCAATTATGACACGATGACAATACAAATACAGAATCTTTTTCTACAAAACCTGTCCGAGTACATTATTACTAAAATTCGATGCTTTAAAAAAAAAAGTTAATTACCTGTCGACCAAAATAAAGTAAAGAAAACAAATAATAGTATAATACAATTACCGTCTTTTTTGTTCTGTTTCTGTTCTTTATTTTGCTTAAACCCTAAATCTCCAACGGCGGTGTTGGTTGTCCTTCCTCGCTCTTCGCCGCGTTCTCTCTCTCTCTCAAACCATCACGTAAGTTTCTTCAGTACTCCTCATAGACCAATCGCATCCCTCACGTTGGAGGAATTCGAAAATTAGGATTGACCCAATTGACTGTGACCTCTTTGATTGAATAAATCGATTAGTTTTCTCCATTCTTGTCAGGAATCCGATTCGATTTTGTTAGTCTCAGCTCAGAACAATGGCAGCAAAACAAGGAGCCGCAGCTACAACGTACTCCCCAAAACCTCTCGTCAGAACTCGTCCTCCGATTTTCAAGGATTCCGACCTCGATTGGACCCGTCCCGATGGCCGTGGCTTCCACCAATGCCGTCCTGCCTGTAAAACCCTAACTCCCTTTCGGATGATTTCAAATATCTGTGGACGATTTCAATCACTAGTTGACATGAATCCACTGAGAGGTCTCTTTTTGTGAGACTAACTCAAAAATGGTTTCTTTTTTCTTTTCCTTTTCCAGTACTTCAAACGGGTGCTGTGAGCTCTGCTTCTGGCTCTGCTTATGCTGAGTTTGGGAACACGAAAGTCATTGTTTCAGTGTGAGTATTAGATAACACTTATCCTCAGTGTCTGCTTTCAGGATTTTGCATGAACATTTCTTCTCTGTTAGCTTAATATTGTTCTGTGTTTTTGGTTTCTTCTGTTCAAAAACTTTAGATTTGGGCCAAGGGAGAGCAAGAAAGCAATGAGTTACAGTGATGTTGGTAGATTGAATTGCGATGTTACCTATACAACTTTTGCTTCCACGGTACGTTAGTTTTATCAGATTTGAAATCTTTCCGTTACTTAGTATCATCAAATGGCTGAATGAGTTATACATTCTTGGTTTTATTCAGGGAACTGATCACAAAGAGTTCTCATCGATGCTTCACAAAGCGTTGGAAGGTGTGATAATGATGGAGTCGTTTCCAAAGACAACTGTTGATGTTTTTGCATTGGTGCTTGAATCTGGAGGCAGTAAGTCTCATGACTCTCTCATACATTCTCAGTTATATGATAACCTTGTGGGGATGGTTATTGCTATTTATTATAAGATTAGTTTGTTTGTCCCACTTTGACGTTCTCGAATGGTGTTTGTAATGCAGGTGACCTCCCCGTTGTGATATCATGTGCTAGTCTTGCTCTAGCGGATGCCGGGATTATGATGTATGACCTTATCACAGCTGTTTCAGTGGTATGTGTGTGTTACAACAATTGCTGCACCAATTCTTAAGTTTTAATAGCATTAGGTGAAGAAAGTAACACTTACATTGACATAAACAAGAGCACCATAGTTTGTGACATATAAACCTACAGTTGTCTCTTCTACTTCTTTTGTATTGAAACACTTGACTGAGAAATTAATCCTGCTTTTTTTTTAAAGTCTTGCATAGGGAAAAGCCTCATGATTGACCCGGTTACAGAGGAAGAAGGCTGCGAAGATGGAAGCTTTACGATGACGTGCATGCCATCTCGTTATGAAATCACTCAGCTAACCATCACTGGTGAATGGACAACGCCTAATATCAACGAGGTATGCCTCTCAATAATATCTTCTCCTTTCATTGCTGCTCATGGTTAGATACACATATCTTTCTCTTCTCGCTATTGACGTTAGCCAACTGCTTCCTTTGTCTAAGTCACTAAGGCGTAGTGTGTTCAGACCTTTGTAGTGTGCAAATCTGACAAAAGGGGTCGGTCTTAATCATGGGCTAATTTGTGTCATATGAGCGTGTATACATGTTAGCTAACAATTGTAAAACTTTGCAGGCAATGCAGCTTTGCTTGGATGCTTGTTCTAAACTTGGAGAGATCATGCGAGATTGTCTGAAACAGGCTGCATCAGCTTCCGAGGAATTAACTTAATCAAGAAAGTTTGATCTTGGTGTAGTTTAAATATGTATTTTGTTCACATAATGGAACTATGTCTTTAGTTATCAAATGAATCCAATTTTGTATCCCATTCGGACTAGTTTTTTTCTTTCTTTGTTGTTGTTTACAAGTTACAAGAGAATTCGGCAGTAACAAACAACTTTAACTCATTTAAATTCTTTTTACAAAAATTCCAAAGTAAAATATTACTAATTTTCAGTAATTAACATAGATATTATATATATATTTTTTTTATATAATAATTATTAATTTATGATATTATTCGGACCATATTTTACATAGGAGTTTTTTTTAAAAAAATTATCTTATTATCTTATCGAATTGTGTCATATTTTACACCGACCTAACTCGGGACCGAAAATATTTATTAATTTATCGTATTTATTAATTTATAGAGTTTCTAGTATTTTGTTTAACTTTATGTGATTTGCTGTGGAGGGAGACAACAAAAACACCAATGGTGTATTGTTGTTTATTTGGACAGGCTGAAGAGAAAGGAAAAGGCAAAATCACCTATGAAGATGAATCAAATGAAGATGTAAGAATAAATTGGTTTGTTTTTTTTACTTGAAGAATTGATTAGTGTACACATTGCTAAATATTGTACTGTTTGTATAAATATATGCATGTAGCTTCCTGAATCTGTGGATTGGAGAGTAAGACAAGGAGTCATCGGTTTTGTGCTTAACCAAAAACTTCTGGATACATATATTAAAAGGGAAAATTCTATTTTTAATCTTCAAAATGACAGAAGCTAACACTTTAAACTTTAAATATATTACACTCTTTCTTTAAACCTCCAAACCAATTGTATTTACAAATTAAACTCTCAAATTAGCTTACTATGTATGTGCGTACCACTGACAAAGCTGACATTTCCAACTGCAAGGTCTATTAAGGGTAAGTTTCCAGCAGTTGTTGAAGCAGCAGATGTGTGGGTATTCATGACTTCAATTGTATGCCTCAACTTGTAGTAAGCATCCCTTGGAGGTAATTTGAGCTCAGTTATGAGCCTGTCAACCTTGTGTGTGTGTGGGGTGGGGGGGGACCTTGTGTGTGTGTGTGTGTGTGGTGGGGGGTGTTCTATATTAAATTTCACACAATATATCTCAATTCACGCATTGAAGATGTACTTTATTGAGGAGCATTTTCCACTGGCCTTGTTAAGCCACAATAGTTTTGGCTAGTAAGTTTTTTCGTAAACTGATTCATACTTCATTTAGCTCGAAAAAAAAAGTTAATTTGTCTCAAAACAATGCAGGTCTTATTTTCAATTTAGTTTCGTTTATATTAAAGTCGTTTTTCTTTTTATCTTTTGTAGTGCTTATGTTAAAACAAAGATTCAACTTTTATGGATAAAATAACAATTGATCCAATCCTTGTGTACCAAATAGGCACATTCTTCTGGCTGAACACGCACTACAAGAAATACCAACATTGATAGCACATAATGATAGCTAAATTTCATAAGTGCTATGATAGATAGTTTAGTAAAATGATAAGAAGCGGCAAGCTAATATTTTTATTTTCCGTCTAAAGTGTTTTATCAAAGATTGTTTTTTTTTCCTTTTGTCTCCATTGATCATTATCTGAAATTCAACTTTTTTTTGTTCTTTTTTCTTAAAGAAAAGAATGAATAAGATCTGGTTTTCGTAGGAAATTAGGAATGTTTGGCTTGTAAATTTCCATGTTTACTGTTTACATAAAATTCAAAATTCCACCCCCATGTAAAAAGCAAAATAGGTAGACCCTTAGTTCTTCTTAGACATTCAATACCGTGTGCAACAAGCTTAGGGTTTTATTTTTTATCATCCCCACAATTCACCACCAGTGAAGCTTACGAACAATGGGTGATGAGATTCAGCAGCCAGCAGATCAAGCAACGGTGCAGCCTCGTCTTCCACGATGAAAAAAGAGCGGTTTTCAGATCGTGTCCTTATTAAATCGATTTTGGGTCGACCCGACGGCGGAGCTGGACTTGCCGGCCAGAAGGTCCGAATCTCCGGGTGGGTTAAAACCTATGTTAAAACAGGAAGGGGGCAAGGAAAAGGACTTTCACTTTCCTCGAGGTGAAGGATGGGTACTGTCCAGCGAGCCTTCAGGTTATGGTGGAAGCTTCTGTGTACGATCTCTCCAAGCTGGTTGCTGCGGGAACTTCTGTTGTCGTTGATGGATATTTGAAGATTCTGCCGGAAGGTAAAGGCATGAAGCACAAGACTGAGCTTAGCGTCGAGAAGGTGATTTCTGTGGGGACGGTGGATAAGGATTACCCGATTGATAAGAAGAATCTGAGTCTAACATATTTGAGAGACTATCCTCATCTTCGTGCAACGACCAACTTAGTAAAACTTCCTGTCTCCTCCCAATGAGATTGAATTAAACAGTTGTTCCTGCATGTGTAGTTTTGTTTTCCTTCGTGGTGAAATTAGTACGTTCTTCAAAAATGTGACTTGTATCTTATGTTACATTTGTTTTCCTGTTGAAAGTATCCGAGATGAGCTTGGAAAGGCGACACACAGATTCTTTGGTGAAGTGGGTTTTCGACAAATCCACACTCCTATCATCATCACAACAAGTGATTGCGAAGGTGCTGGTGAGATCTTCCAAGTAACAACATTGATGAGCAAGTGTGTGTATGTGTTGCCTGAAAAAGATGGGAAAATCGATTGTTGCCAAGATTTCTTCGGCCGTAAAGCTTTCTTGTTAGTTTCTGGTCGGTTACAACTGGAAAGCTCTGCTTGTTCCGAAATTGAGGGCAGAGAACTCTCACACCTCAAGGCATCTTGCTGACTTCTGGATGGTTGAGGCTGAAATAGCTTCTGCTGATCTTGAGGTAATAAAATCATTTGACTATTCCTTCAATATCTGCAAAGTATCCTTAGAAACTGGCTTGGTTATAATTTTGTGTACATGTAGGACGATATGAACTGCGCAGAGGCATATGTGAAATACAGGTACAAGTGGTTGCTTGAAAAATGTTAGGATGACATGGAGTTTATTGCAGAGAATATATGCAATAAAATGAAGTTCACTACAAAAATCAACGTATGAAGGGTAGCGTCATGACCTCAAAACATTATAAATAAGCTTATAGCCTTTAGGCCATGACCATATCCATTCCATGTTATGTATACCATTTTACTCGTATAAATTAACCATACGAGAGATTCTTATGATCTTATCAATTTTTATTTTTCAATAATAAACCTACTAGAAATTTCACTGCAAACCATTAGGGTTTGTTGTTTGGTACAATAAAAGAATACTTGCAAATCAATAAGATGAGAGAAACATTGAATCTAGATCATATTTGCATCAAAATAGGTATGAAGGGGAGCTTGCTTGTTCTCAATCTTCAATGTCAGCGAACTGTTTTAGAGTTTTCCGATAATCTCCTCCACACATTAGATCTCTTGGAAGCTTCTCTTCGTGGCGTTTCATTAACTGTACATACACCCACTTCTGTTTTGCCCAAATTCTTCTCTCAACCACAACCAACACTGAAAATGATGACCGGACCAACTCAGAGAGGTATGTGTATGTTTGCTGAGTCAAAGTTCACTAGCAACTCTTGATTTACCTCTCACCGGTCGCTTCTCCATTGCCTTACTTTCGAGCTTCAGTTCTCCACGACAAGAAGAGAACAACGCTGCGCCTAACTAAATATGCAAGATTTTATCCAACAATAGTCTCCATATGAGGATGATAAGTTCTTGTTAAAAAACATGTGTTTCACAATGTACGGTGAAATGGTGGTGGTACAAAAGTCAACAAAAGGAGAAGTTTGTTTTGTCAACAATTTAGTCCCAGCAACTCTCAACTACCTCCTATAAATAGATCGATGGTGATCTATTCTCTGCAAATCATCCCAAAAACAAGAGAAGAAGAAGAAGAAGTAAACGTGAGAGAGATCAGAAACAAATTTTCTTTCTACATCAAATATTTTAGATATAGAAACCCGCGCCAAATAACAATGAACAAACTGACATAATACGAAAAATGTTTAGACGCATACTATATATATATATATATATATATATAAATACTTAAGATATATAAACGCGTGGAAACTCACAACGTACAGTAAATAACGAAACCTAATAAAAAGAAAGATGCATAATTTTCTTTTTCGCTTACGTAATTCCCATACTTTTAACTTGAATCAAGTTGAGTGTTTCACTGTGTGTACTTCACTCCTTGCGGAATTAAACCCCTGCTAGAATATGCTTCTCCGATTTCTTGAAAAGCAACTCCGGTTTCTTTTGATGAATAGATAGATATTGCAAAAAATTACATGAATTTCCAATTCAAAACTGATAACCAAAACGAATATTTATACTTTTCTATAGAATTTTTAGATTTCATCTTAGCTTATTTATGTGATGTTCAATTCGTCCATTCAAAACAATGTTTTCTCATTGAAAAAGACGTTTATTTAACACAATATTTGATAAAAATAAGAGAAAGAATTAATTGCATATTAAGAACAATAACATCTGTAATATGTAGGAACTTTAGGAGGAATAAGTCCTTCGGATATAATGCAAACACCATTTTTGTAAGACAACCCTCCACAATATATATTTTCTGCAATCTTGATCCACGAAGTTATCGTTGCATTCCTGACTTTCTTCTTTACAACTCGAAGGCAAAGCGATCGTGGCCTCGAACAAGTCGCTACATTCTTTTTTTACCACAAAAAAAAAAAAAACTCTAAACTGAAAATAAATATGAAAAACCACTTGGAGATACTTGAACGATTCTGAAAGAAATTTAAAGACCTCAAACACTCTTTTTGAAAGTTACTTATATAATTCACTCGTTTCAACTTTTTTTCTGGACTTGATTACAACAAGAGAAAGATGAGGTGTTTATAGCCTCCTATAAGATATCTTACAACGGATCGAGATACTTCACTATCCATCACAACAAGTGATTGCGAAGGTGCTGGTGAGAACAACATCAATGACATGGAGTATATATATGGCCAAGAATGCCGACGAGGGATGCATCGAGAGGCTAAAAAGTGTTGCCACGACTCCGTTTGAGCGTGTTACAAACACAGAAGCAATAGAAATACTTGAGAAAGCTGTGTCTCAAGGGAAGATATTTGAGAACCATGTCGAGTGGGGGAATCGACTTAGCATCCGAGCATGAAAGGTGTTTTTTTTCTTTTTCTTTTTGTTAGATTAATCCTTAAATTAAAACTATTTCTTGAAGTTAAACACATGCAAGAGATTGTTGTTACTAATGTTGGTCTTATTCTTGCATTAACTATTCAGATACTTGACAGAGGTTGTGTTTCAAAAGCCAGTTATTGTCTGTAACTACCCGAAAGGAATCAAAGCTTTCTACATGAGAGTTAACGATGATGGAAAGACAGTCGCTGCCATGGACGTTCTCGTTCCAAAGGTAACAACGTAACTAAGCTCATGCTCAGGATGGAGGAGATTGGTCTACCAACGGAGCCGTACGAGTGGTACCTTGACATGCGTCGTTATGGAACAGCCAGGGCCGGCTTAGAGGGTGGTGCGAAGGTGCGTTGCCGCCCCTGGGAACAGCCAAGCATGCATGATTCGGACTTGGATTTGAAGGTATATATGGGTCTCTTCGCTACGGGAATCGACAACATCAGAGATGTTATTCCCTTCCCTCGTTATCCTGGAAAAGCCGATCTTTGATTCCCTTCCAATTCAATCACAGACATTCTTTGATTTGGTTTTTTAGATTTACTTACGTTGGTTAATGTATGAATTTGGATTTTGACTTTGATATTGTATCTATTTATAATTACATTTGAATCCGGTTTGGTACGGTTAAGCATAAATTGTTTGGAAAAGAAAAAGGAAAACAAAAGAAAAGAAAATGTTTATTTCCTTTGTCGTGTCGGATCGAAAGATGAGGAGTGTGACTACGGTGTCGAAGTGCCGCGTCACAAAGTACGCAAGAAGTAGTTAATTATACGGTCTCGGAAACTTGAATCCCGCCATGTTTCTAGAAAGTCGAAAAGGATGCTCTCTGGCTGTATACTATAATAACCACATGCACATAATATCAGATGATATTATCCGACATTTGCTTAATAATGATCATATGCGTGCGTGAACGTGTCGTAGTTAATTTGTCAATTTGTCTTCTTATGTCTCACCACCGATGGTAAAGTAATGTTTTATTTCTATTATTGCTGAAATGATTTCTAAATTTCCATTGGTATTTGTGGACCAATGAGAATTGGATGCATGAGAGAAGAAATGCAATCATAGGATAATGACAAATACTCTGACTCATGCATGATACACATCCTCATTCTAATCTTTCCATACTTTATTTGGGACACTCTAAAGTCTAAACCTTCGAGTAAACACATAGTTCTAGTTGCCCGTATTAGAAAAGTATACATTAATACAACTTGATTCTACATAAAAAAAAATTATGTTTATTTTATTGTATGAAGTAATGAAAACTACTACAAACTTATTATTCTGTATCAAACAAAATTCATTTGATAAATAATAAAATCAAACGTGTATTTGTTGCGATAAGAACACCTTTTTTTCTCAAGAAAGAATAACTAAGACGATGTGACACATTTCGGTTTTTCATATCTTTTTAGTTACGGTATGTTTTGTTTGTTTGTTGATGACATTGATATGGTATTATATGGCTGCTCTTCCTTTCGGATTTTTTTTTTTCAGATAAGAGCTTAGAAATGTAACCAAAAGAATTTTGGCGAAAACAAGATGTAACCAAACTCCAAAAGAAAAATATGGGTTGCGATTGAGCCCAAATGAAAGAGGCCCAAATAGTCGAGCTAGAAGCTTAGCAAGAAGCTGAGGACGTGGTTAGTCCGCGAAAATGGCGTTTCTCTGTTCGTCTCTTCCAAGCTCATCAATTTATCATCATGCTCTATCGCCATCTTATTGAAAAAAGTATTTTTTTCTTAATTTTACACTTTTGTCTAAACAACTTACATATTGTGACAAAAGGAGTGATAGAATACTAGGCAAATAACACAACCAAAAACATATAACACAACGAGAAAGAGAGAGAGTCAATCAATTTTGTTACTCAAATGAGTGATTAATAATGTCAACTATAATCAATCAATTCCATATGATTATACGAATTGTGTAAATACTATGTAGGCAACAGAAACTACTACTGGACAGGAAGCTGCAGACCTTAAAGAGCTCAAAGAAAAAGTCGCACTCTTGGTAAGTCAATTTATCCACAGTTAACTTTTTATAGTTTGATATTGGTTTACATAATTACTGTAGTCTTGGTTACACCGTCCTTGCAGTTAACTTATGGCTGGCTTGCGGGTAGTGACGATGAACCAGTCAACGGGTGTCATATTTTATTAACTGCATGTCTTGCATATAATCATTATTGTAGGTTCCTAGCTGAATACAAATGTTTTACATGATACGGTACTAAAAATACCTTAGAGATCAACTGCCGGTAATATATTAGTTGATACGGTACTGAAATACGGTAAGATATTATAATTAGACTTTTTCCATTCTTGAAAAGGCGAAACGCATAAATCAATTACTGTATTTTCATCAAACAATTCAAAAAAGGGTTTTCTGCAAAAAAAACAGGAAATTAAATTAATTTTGTAAAATAAACCTTCAATTTTTTTCTGTGCAAGTCAATCTCACAAACTTTAAAATTATCCGCTAAACAAACATTGGGTATATTGGCTACGTGGCCGTTTCTGGACCTTCTAAAAAAGATAAACGCTGGGTTTTGAACGATTAAACGGGAGGCATTTCTGTTTTTCATGCCGTTTTTGAACAAAAGCAAAACACCTGAAAATAATGTTTCGGATTTCATTTGGGGAAAAACTAAAATGGTTTTGGGGGAAATCCTAAATTAGGGTTCTTGACGATTTTAGAATCCTGGGTAAATTGTTGAAGCTTGTTGATATTAGATAGAATTGGCGTTAGTGATCTTCACACAAAGATCGTCCAAGTGCAGTTCTGAACAGGTCCGTTCCGAGCAATTACACCTCCCCACCAAGTATGTTACTTTTCTCTGAAAGGGTCTTCCGTTGGTTATCTTCCTCAGATCTCCGTTTCTCTACCTCTCTCTCTCCCCCTTCGACGGTGCTACTTCTTCGTTTCCTTCTCTTTCTTATTGTTAACACGGATTTGAGTTAATCTGCTTCCGTTAGTTCTGATATCGTCTCTGATCTCTTGCTAATCTGACTTGCGACAAATGTTTTCTGTTTGATTCGATTTGGTAAAGCTTTGATATTTCCGACAAATGGTATCTGTTTTGCTAATTGGTTCTGTGCAGTTTCGTTTCGTTCATAACAATGAATAATTGAACAAAATTTGATTTGCAGATCTTTGCGCAATAGATCCTTAAAGTTGAATCCTTTATCGTCGCTTAAGTTTTGGACCCGTTACAGTCTCAGTATTGTCACTGAAGTATATTGGTTGATGTTGTTTTAGTCATCAGGATCCTCTGTTCTTTTTGGCTTTTGAGGTGAGGTTGGAAAGTCTGTTGGATTCGAGGTTGCTCCGGCTCCGTTCCGTCCGAGGGAAAACCGGAGACGAACGGGAAGGTGGAGCAAGGCAAAGGAGAGAATGTCTCCGTCAAGTTTGGCTCACACGGTGAGGCGCCAAAGAGAACCGAAGAGAAGACTAACAACAAGGTGCAGGGTGTACCAAAAGACGCAGCAGAACAGTGGCCTGCGGCGAAGCAGATCCGCTCTTTCTACTTTCTTAAGTACCGTCGCTTGAGGCGGCTGATAAAGAGCTTGCGAAGCAGATTCTTAAAGAGATCAGGCTGCTTGAAGGCATTGCTAATGCGGCTATGAGAGCCAAGATCAAAGAGTCTATGGGGCAGAAAGATGATATCCAAGGTCAAGTTAAGGTAAGAGAGTCGTGTTTAGTCAACTACTTTTGGCTTCTTGCGTTTAATAGTCGTGTAGGAATTGTTTCATATGCGCTTGTTGTGATGTTTTTTTGCAGTTAATGGGTGCTGGTTTGGACGGAGTGAAGAAGGAGAGGCAAGCAATTTCAGCAAGGATTGGTCAGCTGAGTGAGAAGGTGAAAGCAACGAAAGATGAGATTTTGGTTCTGGAGAATGAGCTCAAGGCTGTGAGCGAGAAGAGGGACAAGGCTTATTCGAACATTCATGAGCTTAGGAAGCAACGTGATGAGACGGTACAGACAATACTTTTCTTGTGATGGAGAATGATTTGTGCAAACATTGATTTTTGTGTATGTTTTTTCCATACAGAATTTTGGCCTTTACCAAGGCCGTAATGTGTTGAACAAAGCTAGAGACTTGGCTACACAAAAGAACATAACCGACCTTGAGGCACTTGCTAAAGCCGAGGTTGAGAAATTTGTTACTCTCTGGTGCAGTAAGAAGAATTTCAGAGAGGATTATGAGAAGAGAATCTTGGCCTCACTTGATGCTAGGCAGCTGAGCCGAGATGGGCGGATGAGAAACCCCGAAGAGAAGCCTATACTTGCTCCAGAGGTTCCAGCGGCAAAGGCTGCGCCTTCTAAAACCGAGGTTGTCCCTAAAGCTAATGCAAAGCAGCAGCCAAAGGAGGAACCAGTTTCTGCACCTAAACCAGATGCTAGTGTTGCTCAGAAGACTGAGAAAGCTAAAGATACAGCGAAAGTAAAGAAAGTTGTGAAAGATGAGGATGATGATGATGAAGTATATGGTCTTGGAAAGCCACGGAAAGAAGAGGTAGATGAAGCTACGGTGAAAGAGATGAGAAAGCAAGAGGAGATTGCTAAAGCCAAGCAAGCTATGGAAAGGAAAAAGATGCAGGCGGAGTAAAATGCTGCTAAAGATGCTACAAGAGCTCAAAAAGGAAATTACCTTTTTTTTCTTTTTTTTTTGGTAGTAGTAGTACCTCAATGCTCTTTGCATTCTCTCTTTCCTATTCTAATACTTGTCCATCCTTTTGTGTGCTGCAGGAGCAAGAGAAGAAAGCAAGAAGAAATCCGGAGGCAACACAGAAGCGGAGGCCGTCTCTGAGGAAGGTCCAGAAGCTTCTGACGCTGAGAAGGAGGAGACTGAAGCTCCAGTGGAGGAGAAACCACAGAAGGAGAAAGTCTTCAAGGAGAAACCGATAAGGAACAGGATCCGCAGTAGAGGAGGAACCAGAAACGCTCCCAAGAGCGATCCTCAAGCGTAAGAAGGCCATTTCTTTCAACAGAGGTTATTAACATTTCTTTCACTTGTTTTCAAAATGCCTGATCCAACATATTATTGCCTTTATCACATGGGTTCTGTGGATAAAAAATGTTAGAAGCTTTTAGAGTGGGCATTGTTTGTTATACATTGTTTTTCTTTTCTTTTCCAGGGAGCTGACCACAAAGAGTTGTCATCAATGCTTCACAAAGCGTTGGAAGGCGTAATAATGGTGGCCGTGGACTCCGACCTCGATTGGACCCCCCGATGGCCGTGGCTTCCACCAATGCCGACCTGCATGTAAAACCCTAACTCCCTTTCGGAAGACTTCAAATATCTGTGAACGAATTCAGTCACTAGTTGATATGAATCCAGTGAAAGGTCTCTTTGTGAGACTAACTCAGAGCTGGTTTTCTTCTTTCTTTACTTTTTTTTTCAGTACTTCAAACCGGTGCTGTGAGCTCTGCTTCTGGTTCTGCTTATGCTGAGTTTCGGAACACGAAAGTCATTGTTTCAGTGTGAGTATTAGATAACACTTATCCGCAGTGTCTGCTTTCAGGATTTTGCATGAACATTTCTTCTCTGTAAGCCTAATCCTGTAATGTGTTTTTGGTCTCTTCTGTTAAATTTTTTTAGATTTGGGCCAAGGGAGACTAAGAAAGCAATGTGTTAAAGTGATGTTGGTTGATTGAATTGCGGTGTTACCTATACAACTGTTGCTTCCCCATCTGCTGCGCAGGTATGAGTTTTTATCTTCCTTTTGTAACTTTAGAGTTGGAAAAAATTCATCAATTTAGTTATACATGTACATAGTTGTTTTTTCCAGGGTGCTGATAACAACGAGTTCTCATCGATGCTTCACAAAGCTTTGGAAGGTGTGATAATGATGGAGACGTTTCCAAAGACAACCGTTGATGTTTTTGCATTGGTGCTTGAATCTGGAGGCAGTAAGTCTCATGACTCTCTCATACATTCTAAATAATATGATAACCTTGTGTGGGGATGGTTCTGTAAACATTGGTGCTATTTATTTTAACTGAGAAGGAAGACTGTATTGTTATTATTTTAAGATTTGTTGGTTAAGTTTTGTCCCATTTTGACTTTCTGGAATGGTGTTTGTAATGCAGGTGACCTCCCCGTTGTGATATCATGTGCTAGTCTTGCTCTAGCAGATGCCGGAATTATGACGTATGACCTCATCACAGCTGTTTCAGTGGTATGTGTGTGTGTTACAACAACTGCTGCACCAATTCTTAAGTTTTAATGTAAACAGGACTATGCATGGGTGAGGAGAGGGATGATCTTCCCTTTTGTGGATTACGTTGCCAGGTGGGTCTCTTAAATTATCAAAAGAAAAATGTGTTCCATGTGGATTAGTGCTTTACAGCTACTTATTCAGGTTCCAGGAACAGTCTGAGCTGCAAGGGTGCAGCCCTGGGGATTTTCAGAAGGCACTTGAAGAAGCATTCACTGAGAAGTTGATGCATGATATTCACATGGCTGTTGGTAACTCGACTTTTAACGATTCTTTCTACAGATGGATTCAAGAAACCGCGGCCTCAAATCGGGATCTTACTAACAATGCTCCAAGCCAGGCAAGTGTCTCTGCCTGTGATGCAATTTTTTTGCAACATGTTCGTTATAGGATTTTGTTCTAGATCTCCAAACAACTCAATGCTGCTAAGATTTTACTTCCATGCCCTTGGTCCATATTTTTGTAAATTTCTTCCAGTTTGAGCAGTGTATCTAATTGACTTTATGCTTTGCAGGAGTTAATGAGATACAGAAATCCCTTAGCCTGTGTAGGATGTGGAACGGTCATTTCTTTTTGAGATGGCAAAAAAGATGAAAGCTCTGATTCCTGGAGATCAGTTGTTGTGTAAACCATGTTCAAGGGTATGTAGGGTCCCTTGTTCTGTGATAATGCTTGGTATAGTTTTCATTGATCGAGAAATGGTTGCATGAGAGTAAGCCTACGTTGGTTGTTGTTGCAGTTGACAAACTCTAAACACAATTGTGGTATATGCAAGAAGCTAAGGAACCCTGTGGGCAGTCAAACCTCGGTACGAAAACAATTAGACTCTATAGGGCTATAGCCTCAGGTTTTGGTTGTTTTTTTTGTATTTTGATTAATATCCGGGTAATGAATTAGGTGCGCTGTGATAGTTGTAAAGTATGGGTACACGCAGAGTGTGACCATATATCAGATAAGGATTTGAAGGTATGTTAATTTTGGAGTTCATTAAGGTTATCCTATACTCATCTGCTTGCACGTGTTGAGATCAAGTTCGTTTGATGATCTGAAGGGCTTGGAGGGAACAGATTACGATTGTCCTACTTGCAGAGCTAAATTTAACTTTGAGTTATCACATTCAGGAGAACCAGACTCAAAGTCAAAGTAGGACGCTTTTCCGTAACTTTGATTATTGTTTTCACAACAACTGTATTTTGATTGCCAAATGTATAAATTTGGGGATTTTCTGGTACAGACTTGGGAAAGGCGATGATCGGGTGGTTCTTCCTGACAAGGTTACGGTTGTATGCTGTGGAGTAGAAGGAGTATATTTCGCGAGTGACCATTTGTAAGCAGATACCTTTTTACCGTTTCCTTGCACAAGCAAGAAACTTTGGAGACTACCTTCCCTAGGTTTTCAGGTTTCTTTGCTGAATGATCTGCTGTTGTTTAACTACAGAGTCGTATGTAAGTGTGGCTCGTGTGGACCTCGAAAGAAACAATTAAGTGAATGGGAAAGGCATACTGGATCAAAGTCAAAAAACTGGAAGACCAGTGTGAAAGTCAAAAGCTCGAAGCTGCCACTAGAAGAATGGGTTTGTACAATAACTCTTCTTGTTTCTTTCAAAGATGTTGATTTTCTAAAAAGTAATCTGACATATTTATTTGCCGGACCTTTCCCTTACTCTACAGATGTTGAATTTAGCAGAGTTACATGCAAATGCTACAGAATCTAAAGTTCCTAAACGACCTTCCATAAAGCAGAGAAAGCAGAAGTTGCTTGCTTTTCTGTCAGGTATAATAGGAAATGGAATCCCGTAACATGTTGCAAAGTTTCAAGTGCCTGTGTAATGCTTTTGTTGGCTTTTCATTTTGTTGTTGGCAGAGCCATATGAGCCGGTCAATGCAAAGTGGACAACAGAACGATGTGCAGTTTGCAGATGGGTAGAAGATTGGGACTACAACAAGATTGTTATCTGCAACAGGTGCTGTTTATAATCTTGTTTTTGCTCGTCTTTTCTTAAAATCATGATTTCATCCAACTGAATAAGCCACGCGGATGCTAAATTTGACTTGCCAGTAAACACTTTTTTTTTCCGTTCAATATTTGGCTCACACGGACTCTGTAAGATAGGATTTTCTTGCTAGTTTCTGTGGATAAGATATATTAGCCAGAGCTTTCCGTTAACTTTTATGTCATCATGGGGAGCCTTTGGGAAGCAAAAGATGGTTGTTTTCTGTGGAATATATAATGGCGAGTTGTGAAGAATGATCCAATATCATTGTTTATTAATGTTTGTTCTTTCGCTTTCTTCCCCAGATGCCAAATAGCAGTGCATCAGGAATGCTATGGCGCTAGACATGTTCATGATTTCACCTCATGGGTCTGTAAAGCATGTGAGAAAACCCGGTATTAAGCGGGACTGCTGCCTCTGCCCTGTAAAAGGTACGCCTTTTCATTTTGTGGCGCCTGAATATTTCGTGTCAACCTATATTTTACACGGTCGTACTACTAGTGTAAAGCTTTTTCCGAAAGTAATTGCTTTTCCTGATGGCACTTTTGCATATTTCCTTCAAAGATGGTTTCATAAAGCATACTACGTTATCTGTTATCTGTTTCCCTTACAAGATATAGGCATTATCTAACATATGGCATTGCTGCCTACTGACTATATTCTTGTCCCGGTACTGTTCTGACTGATAATAGGAGGTGCATTGAAGCCAACTGATGTGGAAACAGTGTGGGTTCATGTTACATGTGCTTGGTTTCAGCCTGAAATGTGTTTTGCAAGTGATGGAAAAATGGAACCAGCTGTTGGGATATTGAGTATTCCATCAAGTAATTTTGTGAAGGTATATATTAATGTAATCTATTGTGTTCATTTTGGTTGGCACTCGAGAGTACTCTTTTCCAAACTGGTTGGTGAATTCCACTGTCAGCAGAGGGCTAATATAGTTTTCATTATTTCTTTGGCAAATTTCAGATTTTTCTAAACTAATTTTTAAGAAAAATTTGGTTTTGATGGATTCCAGATATGTGTAATATGCAAACAAATACACGGCTCGTGCACTCAGTGTTGCAAGTGTTCAACGTATTACCACGCCATGTGTGCCTCCCGAGCTGGTTGTAGAATGGAGGTATGCTTAGTGTTCCTTCATTTCAGTTTTATCTTGCCCTGCATATGAACAATATAAAACCAAATTGCTGTATACGTTTTGTAGTGGAACTGGTTTTCGATAGACAATGTGTTTTGCCTCTTCAATTTTATATTAACTTGACCGTTCTGCTTTCCTTTGCAATCTGTCATATACTCCATTTTTATATTTCCATGCGTTATGTATGCAGTTGCACTGCTTGGAGAAAAATGGTCGGCAGAATTCAAAGATGGTGTCCTATTGTTCCTATCACAGGCAACATTTCGCAATATTCTGCCTAAAGAAGCTTTGTATTATGATGAGCTCTGGTTATAAATGGTGTTTTCACTATTTTTGTTTTTGGTTTGTAGGGCTCCGAACCCAGATACTGGTCTTAGTTATACAAACTCCTTCAGGGGTCTTCTCTGCAAAGAAGTCTTGTCCAAAACAAGAAGAAAGGTGGTTCTCGCCTTATTTCATTAATCAGAGAAGACAACGAAGAGTCAAACATGTATGGCCAAACATGTATATTTCTCATGAATCATAAATAGGTATAGATGTACAAAACCAGTCTCGTAATCTAGTTTATCGAAAATAAGATATGGATAATTTGATAAATCACGAGGAGAGAGGTAAAGTGTTACAAGCAATGGATGGTTGCAGCTACAAGGCAGCAGCTGGAGGGTCATTGTCGAATACTCTAGTTGCTTTGGCAAGATTAGGTTGCCAATCAATCAGTGACAGGCCTTTGAATGTGGCCATGGCAGGCAGTATTGCTGGTGACCCTCTTGGTAGCTTTTATAGGTACAAAACTGTATAATCTTCTCCTTTCATGCATCATTTTTTGTTGCCGTTCCCATCACTATTGTATCTTGATTCAGAGGTTTAGCTTTTATGATTCATCTTTGTACATGGTTTGGTTTGATTTACTCACAATGGCAGTCCATGACTCCATGTTATGTTTGTATAGGACTAAACTACGACGAGCAAATGTAAATTTCCTTTCTGCTTACTCCTGATGCTCAACGTACTATGCTTGCATATCAGGTAGGATTTCTGAAATCAGCAAATATTTCCTCATGAGTTAGTGGTTAGAGGCTAATATGCTGAAGCAAGTCGTAGAGATGTGATCTCAGAATATTTTTGTCAGTTTGGCTGAAACGTTTTCAGGGAACATCTTCTGTCGTTAATTATGATTCTTGTTTGGCTAGTTTGATATCAAAGACAAATGTCTTTGTTGTGGAAGGCTACTTGGTTGAGCTTCCTGATACTAGAAGGA